TTGAATATCAGAGTGTTCCATCTCATTTCCCTTTGGGGTTGCTGTAGGTGATCTGGAAGTCTGGTTTTGAATCTTATTTACATGTTTTCTCATTTCCACTGGGGCGGGGGGCTGTCAGTGCCTGCATGGATTACCTCCTCTGAGCTGGGTGAGGTGGGCCAGGGGCTGGGAGCAGCGGTAGGGATGGTGACCCAAAAGCCCTTTCCTGTGGGTTAATACATTTTTTAAAATATAGCAAGGGCTCGGTTAAGTCTTTCAGGAAATTACTCCACTTCCAAACTCATCTTCTACCCCACACCCTTGATGCTCTGTCAGACTCACCAGCTTGCAGGTGGCCAGCCCAAGTGAGGCACTATAGTCCTCCAAGGAGGGTGGGGACAGGAGTAGTTACTTCCCCCTTACTGATTTATGAGAATATCACTTTTAATTCTCCAAAACTCCAAGTGAGTCAGATATTATTTCCATTTTGTTTTCAGGTGAGTAACAATGACTCAGAGAAGGTGAATGAGATCAGGGTCACACAGCAAATAAGGAGCAGAGTAGAATTAAAACTCAAGTCTGTCAGAGTCCAAAACTCCTGCCCTTAACTGGGATATTCTATCCCCTTACGAAACACCAGCTGTCCAGGCTGGTATCCAGTGTGGGAGATTTCCTCTTTAAGATAAAATTCTAGATATAAGACAGAAAGGAATCAGTCAGGGAAATATTGGACTAGAAGTGAAGGGATCTTCTTTCATGTCCTTCAACTCTCCCCACTCTTGACAAACTTAATTGTGATTTAACATTTGTCTTAGTTTGTTTTGTGTTGCTATAAGAGAATTCCTGAGGCTGGCTAACTCATAAAGCATGACACCAGCATCCCAGCTGTTACAACATGGTAGAGAAGTAGAAATGGAACTAGCCACAGGCAGAAGGGGCCAAGTGCATGGATGGTCCTTCTGTGGTCTCTGCATTCCTTGAGAGCAAGAACTCAGTAAAACCCCAGAATGAATGAAAGGATGAACCAAGGAAATTCTGTGGTTGTACCAGAGGAAGCACCATGGCCACAGTTTGCAAACAGCTTTATCCAGCGACTTTCCACAAGGGAACCTGATTGATATAATACAGACAATCTGGAAAGGCCTAGAGCATATATGGCAACTTCAGGCAAAAAGTTTCACTGAACTATCAGGTGTGATGGTGCGTGTTTGTAATCCTAACTCCTGGAAGACTGAGGTAGGATGATTGCCAAGAGTTCAAGGCCAGCCTGGGCCACACAGTGAGTTCAAGGCCAGCCTGAACTAATAGCGAGATCGTGTCTCAAAAATAAATACATAAAATTAAAAAGTTTCATTGAACTGAAAAGAGCTTCCTCAATACCTGAGGTATAGCTCTATGGTTGAGTGCTTGCCTAGTATGCACAAGGCCCAGCATTGGGGGTGGGGAGAGGGAGTTAAAGAAAGGATTAATCTTTTAACTTGAGGAGAGAAATCTCGGAGTAGAAAAAGATTCATTTTCTTTTGATTGCATACAGGGAAATGGCTCAAGTACTCGAAAACTAAATTATGTGTTAATCCTAACCCTGTTGGCTGGCAGAGAAGTTTGAGGGCGTCTGATGGGTGTGGAAATATGTACCTAGAGATGTAAATCACTGAGCAGTAAGAAAGAGCTGGGCAAATTAGGGGTCCTAGTGGGGGAAGCAGAGCCTGCCCCATCTCATTGAGGCTGAGCCAGCCCTGGGGACAGCAGACCCAGGAACCCCAAAATACTCAATGAGCATTTATGAATCTGTGTGCTACAAAGTGTGTGTTGAAAGGTTACACCTCTCTTCAAAAATTTTAGTAACATCTATTTTGCTAACACATTTACTTACTTATTTATTTATTTATTTATTATTTATGCCACACTGGGGATGGAACCCAGGGCTTCATGCAAGTGCTCTACCATTGAGCTATACCTCTGTCCCACAATAATGCTTTTAGTACAAGTAGCTTCATTTTGGGGAATTCAGCAAGCTGCAAAGCACTCTGTACCACAGGGCCCAGGAGCCACACTCCAACAGCGGCACTGGCATTATACCTACACACACAGAGACTCTCTTGAAAGACGCTAAGCATTGCATGTCAAATTCTTTTCTCACTGGGAAACTACTGGTTACTGTGGAAATGGTCCTCAGGATTTCAGGAGCATTGAGTTATACCTTGGGCACACTATTCATGATGGATCACCTGAGCTTTGCAATCATCGTTCAGAAATCTTCTCAGAGCACCTGCTCTGTGCTAGACTCTGTAGACAGAGTGGCCAATCAGGCAGAACCAGTCATTTCACGCACTGTGACTGGGCCTAAGCCAGGCTTTCAGAACTGGAAACGTCCCTGAATCCTGCTGGATATATGTACAACTACACTGGTTTTCAATCCCTATTCCCTTTTTGTGGCGGTATTGAGGATTGAACCCAGGGCCTTTGCACTGAGCTACATCCACAGCCCTTTTAAAAATTTGAGACTGGGTCTCACTAAGTTGCTAAATTGCCCAGGTTAGGTTCAAACTTTTGATCCTCCTGCCTCAGCCTCTCAGGGTGCTGGGATTACAGACATCATGCCTGGCTTTCTATTCCTTTAATGACAGCCCAGACAGGGCTTTCCCTGGAACAGAATGAGACCCATTGAACAGATTCTGAATTGGTCTGAATAGGCTTATATATTTAAATATGTCCCAGATAATAAAACAGAAAGTGTGCCTAAGGGATATGAAAGCAGGAGCAGAGCCTTTGCGAAGTGCTGCCCTGGGCTCCTTGGGTTTCAGGCAGGACCTCTGTGCGGCTGCCTCATGGCTGAGTCCTTCTTTTTGGGTATCTGGGGCTGCATTTTCATTTTGCCTCCCTGTCTTCCATTGGGAGTTCTTCTCCCAGGGTTTACTTGAGTGGTGCTTCTCTGGAGATGGAAGTTAACCTGGAATGGAAAAAGCAGAAGCTGGGAGGCCGGTGTAGATTCTCTTTCACCACAGCACCAGGTTGTGAGGCAGGAGACTTGGAAGAATTATTACAGTAAGGACCCAGAGCAGCACTGTGGCATCCTGTACACTTGGCTAATACTCCTCTCAAAAGGAGTGCAAAATCACTGTCGATACATAGGGTGTGGCTGGGTGAACTAATTATACAGTTATTTGTATTAGAAAAAATATTTCTACATCTTAAGCCACGTTTTCACCAATTCTGTTGCTTAGAACAAGAGCTATGGACTGATGGTGTTCTAATATCCATCTCCTTTGTGCTGACAGTGTGAGTCACAGGGGCTCGCTCAGGCCTGCCAACAAGGGCCTCACCTGTGCCACACTGTTTGGCAACAGAGACAGGGGAGACGAAACAGATTGCCGGTATGGAGATCCTTAGACCCTAAATTTCCATGGGCATCAGTGTATCCTTTTGACAGCAATGGTGCGGCTTCCCTTCTGGCCATGCACACAGAGGAAAAGATGCTTTTGGCTGACAGATATGTGGGGAGCTGTAGAGCCCTGGCAAGCATCAGCAGGAGAGGGAGTGGCAGCGTTCTCACCACGCACCCCAGGGGTATGCCTGGGTGCCCCGCCCTTGGAACAGTTTGAGTTGCTGAAGCCAGGTGGGAGTTAAAAACAGGCCACTGACAGGAGAGGCCTCTCCTTGGTGCTATTTCCTGCCCTTTCTACAAAAATCTGCTACTTCTTTTAAGAGGGGGAATGGGGAGTTCGAGTCAACTGCATTGTAGCATTTACCATTTCCTATTTAGTAAGGCAAAAATTTAGGGAGGGATGAAGGGTAGGAAAGCGGGGCGGGGGGGCGGGGGGGGGGGGGGGGAGAAGCAAAGAAGCCACAACATCTGGAAGGCCACGGGGAAAAGCAATGAGAACACTGGACCCTGGGAGATATTTTAATGTGTCTAAAATTGGAACATAAAATCCGTTTGGTAAACAATCTCTTTTTTGTTTTTTTTTTCTTTAGCCAGATGGCTATCTGCTTTAGAATGGGGAGAGAAATAGACTACTGTGGTCAATAAACAGACTCTCAGTTGTTACTGTATCTGAGAATTATATCCCATGACCCATTTCCCCTTTCTGACTTATATTTGACAAAATGAAGGGTTATGTTTATTTATTTAAAGGATATGTGAAAAAGGAGGTGAAATATTCTGAAGGAGAGTACCTCACCTAGGAGAACATGAAGCTGTTTGTCATTGAATAGATGAGCTCATAATCTAAAGCCTGCATGAGCTGCCTGCTGGTGATTTGATTTTTGGCTGTAACAAGCAAAAAGGGAAAGAGGATGCACTGGTTGGGAAACTGGGATCAGCTAACAGTTGTCAATGGAAGAGTTACTGTTTTCTTCCTGCATCTGCAAACAGAAGTAATTTATAATGTATTAAGAGTTGATAGTACAGGGGCTGAGGTCGGGGGTTATCTAGAAATTTCAGAAAAGATTTCAAATGACTTAATAACTTTTTGCCACGATCTTATGTTAAAAATAAGGATTAAGAATACTGACCATGGCTCTGTGATGCATTCGCTTAAGGGACAGCCCAAAGAGCCTGTCCTAAGTTTTAATTCCCGGCCCCCACCACTTTATCAGTAAGTGATATTGTACAACTGTCTTATTTTCTCTAACTTTAAGGTCCCTTGGGCACAAATGGGAATACTTGTTTACCTTATAGGGTTGTTGTGAAAGTTCAGTGAGGTAATCCTGGAAAGCTCTGACAGTGACTGACACACAGCACCTATTCAATAAATAGTTCCTATTGCTGTATTTAAAAAGATGAGCTGCTTGACTTCACTGTGTAGATAAAGAAAGGGAGAGGCAGGGCCAGCTAGAGCTGTTAGAGATGGAAGAGGACAGAATGAGGAGGCCCTAGGAAAGCACTCGCTTAGGACACAAGGTCCGTAGACGCTCATTAAATAGGTTACTTCAGGGCCGGGGATTTAGCTCAGTGGTTTCGCCGCCTGTTGTGCAAGCGGAAGGATCCGAGTTCGATCCCCGGCACCAAAAAAACCTAAGGATTAGTGTACATGACTTCTGAGCCCTTTATTCTCTGAGATTCGACTCTACCCTAAAGTGAAAAGTTCAGGCTATGTATCAAAGAAAGAGGTTCTTTGCTTCTTATCCTTTCTATACAGAGCCACAGAGAACTGGGCGCGGAGCACTTGACTTGCCGCAGCAGCAAGCGAAAACCTGTACTGCGCGCGCGCACCCCGTGCGCCTGAAGGCTGTAGAACGCCATCTGCTGACAGTCCTTTCTGATGGCAACAAGGAATACAACCAGAGAATCCGGGCGCGAGAATCTGAGCCAGGGTTCCAGGATTTACAAACTAACCTTTGTTGCGTGCTTGCTCTGTGTCAGTTACTACTAAATGCTGGATGTGCACTTTCTCTTTTCAAACTCTTGTAAAAGAGGCTCTATTAGCACCAGGTTGCTGAGAAAGAAACCGAGGATAAGAGATTAGGCAGTGTATTCAAGTTCTGTGAGCAAATGTGCTGGGTTTAAAACAAGACAGTACTTTGAATCGCAACAGTATATTAAACAAGAACTGGGGAAAGCCAAAAGGATACAGGGATAACAGGAGAATGACCAAAGAAAATTGAGGATAGGAGAGAATGGATTTTAATGGTGAACAAAGGAAGCTCGGCAAAGATTACAACTATGCAACTGATTGTTGAAGACATGGTATAAGTGACATCTAAAGGGTTGCGTAAGACTCAGCCGAACTCACCAGTGTTGGTTCTGCAGGACCCACGATTGCAGTTACTGTCTTTGGGTCAAACCCAGGGGCTGTGGCTGTGACAGAGTAGGTACCCGGAAGCAGCAGCCGGAAGTAGTCGCCGTGTTCACCTAAAAGTTAGAAGGACACAACTCGGTCTGCTGACTAAAAACCTGCCCCAAATGGAAATTTGATTTGAAAAGCGATCAGTGGTAGAGCACATGCTTTGCATGTATGAGGCCCCGGGTTCGATCCCTAACATCTCCATTTTATGAGCCCTGAAGGTGTTTTTGGGCTGGGGATGGATTAGCTCAGTCGCGCCGCGCCTGCCTCAAAAGCGCAAGGTCCCGAGTTTGATCCCCAATACCGAAAAGGAAAAAAAAAAAAAAAAAAAAAAAAAAGCGATCTGGATATTTCAGCTGATCACAAGCGTGTTTTTTCTTAACAGCGTGATGAAACCGACAAAGAGCTAAATTTAGGTATAAGAATAGTCCTTAACGGGAGCAGCTGCTAGAAAGAAGTCTGACTGTGCTCTACACTGAAAGAATTGTGCCCTATTCCAGACCCTATATTTTGATACAAACTCATTTCCAGTAGAGGTTCTCTAGGAGAGAGGAAAGGTTAAAGTTAATACTTTGCCTGATGAAGGAAAACATTTGAGACCTTTATTTTGATATTTGAAAAGCCACTCTGAAGAAATGGTGTCTACCTAAAGAAGTAAGAATGAGAACGATGGGTTTAACTTATAGGGAGACAGATTTTGCTAGACAGAGAAGAAACTAATGTACTAAACAGAGTTAATAGAGAAGAGGAATGCTTTATGAAATTGGGAGCACTCACTGAGAGGCTGATCAGAAGCCCTAGAAAAGCTGCTTAGTTGAGCAGTGCACAACCTGCACTAACAGCCATGGCAACCTTGGGATGGATAACCACTGGTCAGTGGTGTTGTATGCATGTAACTTTATATTCAGCGGGAGGGCAGGACTAAATGATTACTAAAAGTCTGATTTGGAGAATCATATTTTAAATATTTCTTCCATTACCTTCAAAAGTATGCTAAAGGGAAAATAAAATCAAAAGCCTATTTCTCTGTGGCAGGGTTATAGCATTTTGGCTAAAGACTTTCTGTTCTTGTGGAACCATGATGATATCTTTAACATTTCCTTTAAGTGTTCAGTAATAAATAATTGCAATAATAAATACAATAATTATTGATGCAGGCAATAATGAGTAAGTCCTTTTTTCTACCACCTATTAAAGGTCTAGAGTAATTTACTTAAAAATTCTTTAGCAAAGGCAGTGTGTTATTATGTATATGTTAAATTGTTTAAGTTATACCCCAGGGGCTGTTATTTTCTTAATTGGGGGCTTACACTCTGGAGTAGTCAGCAGTTGTATCAGAAAGGCCCCATTCCAGGGCTGGGGACTTAGCTCAGTGGCACCTTGACTGCTTGGCAAGCACAAGGTCCTGGATTTGATCCCCAGTACTGAAAAAAAAAAATGTACTGCCCAGAAAAGTCTCATTCCAGATGCATCTAGGAAGAGGGCTCAACAGCTATCTTGATCTCACATCAACACTAAATGCTTCACTAAGTAGCATAATGAATGTGAACTTGTTAATTTAGCACAATGAGTGTTTGGAAGTGAGCATTTATTGGTGAGATTAGTGGCATTCACTGATGGCTAAAAAAATTTGAGAGACATTCTAAATGTTTACTGAATTCTTATGTCCTTGCTTAACTAGAGTACGAGAATCTAACAAGCCTAGCAGCCTGTGCATTTCATCATGGTGCCTGAAGTTTGATCCCTAAACAGTCACAGATCCAGCTACTGGACTGCAGGGTTCTGGTTGTCTGATGCCTATAGGCTAGTGATGGCGAACCTTTTAGAACTTTCAAACAGCCTGCTGTGGTACATGTGCTATAGGCTTGCCACCACTGCTATAGGGTATAGAATTCTGCTTTTAAAATATTTTCTTTCCCTTAAAGAATGTAAAGAAGAGGTTCCATCTAGCTTAAACAGACTGCACAAACAGATGCCTGCTTTGTAATAAATATTTGACTGGTAAAAATATGGCTGAATCTTGCTGGAGTTGGGGTGTGGGGTTACGCAAATTTCACCTACCCCTAACTGCTAGTAGCTACTGCTATCCATTAAAAACAAACAAGCAGAGGCCTTAAGAGTTGTGCAAGATCAGTTTGGGCTGGGTCAGTCAACAGCACCATTCTTCTGTGAGACAGTTTGGGGGGCTTTGTCATAGGTGAGGCTTTTCAGAAGTGGTTGGACTAGGGTGTGTGCTGCTGGGATCAAGGATGTGATGCTGGGATTGATTCAAATGGTAGGATTAAGGCTGTCCCACTCTGGGTGTGAGTGTGGATAGCCTGGATAAGATATAAGGAACAGAAAGAGAATCTCTACTTGTTGCTTGTAGCTTGCTGCTTCTGTCTTCTGCCTTCTGCCTGCTATGAACTGCTTCTCCTCAGCAATGCCACTCTACCACGCCACCCTGAGTTGGAGCCATCCCACTGTGAACTGAAATCTCTACAAACTACGAGACAAATAAACCTTTCTTCTTTAAATTTGTGTGTCAGGTATTTTGTCTCAGCAACGAGAAAAGTAACTAAGACAAAATTTTGTACTCTTCTAGGAGGTTCCAGGTAACTCCAAGATCTGTCTCCACCATCAATCTTGCCCTGCAGCAAGTCCATTAAAACCAATCTTTCTAATTTTTCCTGAATAGACATGTAGTAAAATTCCTGAGTCAGGGACAAAGCCAAACTCAAGTTTTACAGTCCTTCTCTTTTCTACTCCATGTCACACCAGCATCTGAGCCTCTAATAGCTTCCAGCCTGGAAACACTTCTAACAAAGTTGTACACAGCAGTGACTCCTGGACTCTAATGAGGAATTACATTTACATTTTCTTCCCTGATCCTTGCCTTTCGGGGATTTCTTGCTTCACAAGCAAACGTTTTTTTGTTTGTTTGTTTTTCTTTTTTTCATTTAAACATCTTGGTTGCTTGATCTAGCCCCTTAATTACAGTCCGTATGTCTAGGAAACCCTTCCTTCCTTTGAGCCCTATCCTAGTATCTTTGTCTTTGCTAGTCTCACCAGCTTACGAACTGGCCCATGAGTTCTGCTGAAGAAGATAAGGATCAAGAACTCCCTTCACACCCCAAGCCATGGCCACCTACCTGATGTGACATCATGATTAATCCCACTGACAGAAATGACAGCCCCTGTGAGATTATTATTGTTATCATCAAGCACCATTCCCTTGATGCCCTGGTGAACCTGTAGGGAAAAGTGAACAGTAAAGATCATAAAACTTGTGCAGTGTTTAGGGTCTCAAAGCCATTTCTTATGTGTTCACATTCGATCTTCAAAAGGTAAAGATGGTCTATGCTCCTTCACCCCAATAATCTCTTCTCAACAGAAAAGACAGAGCAATCCTACAAATATAAGTCAAATCATGTCACTGTTTCACTCAAGACCCGACTCACTCAGGGCAAAAGCTACAATTCTTATGATGGTTTGTAAGGCTGAGGTGCCTGTTAGCAACCTGATCCTGGAGGTCCACACTAATTCCAGCCACAATGCTGCCCTTATCTTGACATTTTTTTAACTTAAAAAATTTAATTATGACAAATATATATCAAACAGAAAATGTACCACTTTAGCCATTTTAAGTATACAGTTCAATGTTATTAAATATATTCATAATGTACAGCCAGCACTACCACCTACCTCTTTCCACCAGGACTCTTTCCATCTTGTAAAACTGAAAGTCTGTACTCACGAAACAGTAATTCTCCATTTCCCCTTTCCCCAGCCCTGGAAACCTCCATTCTACTTTCTGTCTTGATGATTTTGATTATTCTAAATATCTCATGTAAGTGGAATCATATAGTATTTGTCTTTTTGGGACTAGCTTATTTCACTTAGCCTTAGCCTAATGGCTTCAAGATTCATCCATGTTGAGACATGTATGAGAACTTATTTCATTGTTTGTATACGCTACATTTTTATAAGTTCACCCACCAATAGGCACTTGGGTTACTTCTACTTTTTGGCTGTTGTGAAAAATACTGCTATAAACAAAAGTGTACAAATAGTTCTTTGACACCCTGCTTTCAGTTTTTTTGGATATATACCCCAAGGTGGTATTGGTGAGTCCTATGGTAGTTCTATTTTAAAATTTTCTGATGGATTACCATACTGTTTTCTATAGCAGCTGCACCATTTTACATACCCACCAACAGTGCACAAGTATTCCAATTTGCCCATATCTTTGCCCACACTTGGTAATTTCTATCTTGTTGCTGTTATTGTTGTTTTTCATAGCAGCCATCCTAATGGGTATGAGGTGGTATTCCACTGTTTTTGATTTGCATTTCCCTAGTGATTAGAGTTAAGAATCTTTTCATATGCTTGTTGTTGGCTTTACATTTGTTGTTGTATCCATTTCAAAGGACTGTTTTTCCCTGGATATCTGCATGGTTCTCTCTTTCAACTCCTTGAAATCTCTTTTTAAATGTCACCTTTTCTGAAAGGCTTTCTTTCTAGCATTTCTCCCTTAAAACTTACTTTCTTATTTTGTTTATTTGGGGTTTTTGTTTGTTTGAGACAGAGTCTTGCTATGTAACTCAGGCTGGCCTTGAACTCTCGGTGATCCCACTGCCTCAGCCTCCCAAGTGCTCAGGAGTGTGCCACCACTCTTGGCATTTTGTTTATTGTGTGTTTATTGTCTGTCATCAATAGAATGTTAGTTCCATATGGGTAAGGATGCTTGTTTAATCAATTCCCACTTTATAGTAAAATTTCTGACAGTTCTGATAGTTGTGCTCAATCATATTAAATGACTGAATCTCACTGGTAGAAGCAATTCAAACATATTGAGTCAGAGCAAACTTAGATGAGCTACACAAAAAACCTAACCTGCCACTAAAGGACATTTCTCTTTTTGTAACCATGAAAGATGATAGATGAGATTTTACCTGTTCCAAGAATTGGATTAGGGCTTCCCGATTACCCAGCCATTCCCGTTCTAATTCCTCTTGGTGGGGAAACTTATTGCAACTGAGTTCCAATGTGATATCAAAGCAGTTGGTGTGGAGATAATTAAAATCTTGCATTCCTAGGGGAAAAAGGGAGTGGCAGATTTGTACAAATAGGTTCTCACCCAATCCCCATCTCATCTCTTTTTAATCATAATGTCTTCACCATGACCTTAATCATCTTCTATTCTACCTCTTTTTTTTTTTTTTCTTAGACAAGGTCTCAATATGTAGCCCAGGCTGGCCTCAAACTTGTGGCAATCCTCCTGCTTCTGCCTCCTGAGTGCTGGGAATATCTATTCTACCTCTTGATGCCTGTTTCCTCTTCTTTTCTATAACTCTTTCCCAAGGTTCTGAGCTCACATGTAATTTCTCTCTTTCCAGTTTACTTTCTTCATTAATGCCCATTTCATCATCTACATTTTCTGCTTTTTCCACTTCATGATTTAATTTTCCAAAGTCACCTTACTAGCTGGACCTGATAATGAAGAATATGCATGTGCACATTACTTTTAGGAGAACAGATTTTTCTCTTTAAACTGTGATATTCTTCAGACCTGGAGAGGAGGGGTTACAGATGAGATTAATATTTTGCTTTCATATCCCTCATCCCAACTGAGAACACAGCACTAACATAAAAATAGTTCTCACAGAGAAACTGACTCATGAAAAAGCATAAGGCAGCTGTATTTTGTTTTTTCTCTACCAAATGCTTACTGCTCTGATCTTCTGTATTATTCAATTGAATATTATTTGTAATGTTTCTGATTATTAAGATGGGATTTACAAATGAAGAATTGGATATTGAAATTTAAAAGTTATGTAGGAGTACAAAGGACCTAGAAAAGTTAAAACAATAACAACAACAACAACAACAACAACAAAAACCCAAAAAACCCCAAAATAGTGTTGGAAGACATTTAGTACCTAATTTTAAGACTTCTTCTTAAGCTACAGTAATCAAGGCAGTGTTGGTGTAAGGAAAGACAATGATGACTTTTGGGGGTGGATCTTCCAATGCTGCACCAACACTGCCATCCCTATAACAAAACCGCTTTCTACATACTGCCAGATCTGACTTCTAATAGTTTGTTTTGTTAAACAAATTTCTATCTATGTTCATACTCTTTTCTTCTATTATCTTTATCCAGTTTTAGGATTAACACAATGTTGAGTTCCTAAAATGAGAGGAGAAGTGTTCCTTCTTTTTTCTGCTTTAATTGTTTGATATAATTTATCAGTTAAAATGTATATGAGCCTGCTGTTGTCATATAGGTAGGTTTTCAAGCTAGAAAATATACTTTCTTTAATAGGTGTTATTCAAATTTTATATTTCCTCCAGTGTTAGTTTCATTAATTTGTCTTCCAAGGTACTTCTTAGAAGTTGTCAAATTTATTTCAAAAAAGATTTTTGTAGTATGCTTTCTATATCCTTTTAAAATCTGTAAAATCTGTGGTAATGTCTCCTAGATCTTGATATTGTAATTTTAAAAATGTATAATTGATATTGTGTAACAGGAAGAAAAGTTCTAAAGGAGCAGGGGAAGTGGGAGGGGTAGGGGAAAGGAAAAAAGGGAAAAGAAAAAATATGAGAAAAGGAAAAAAATGGAAACAAGGTCTTTGCAAATAGGGAAGGGTGGAGGATGTGAAGGGAGGGCAAGGGAAGGAGAAAAAAAATAAGAACCAAGATACTCATGTAAAGGTACAAGATCCCAATGATGAATGTAACTGTACTGTATCCTAAAATGTACCAATAAACTTAATGGGGGGTGGGGGGAAAGATGGGATTTACATAACAAAATTCATTTGTACTTAAAATTATCCATTTATTTATTTATTTATTTATTTATTTATTATTTTTTCCTGTACCAGGGATCAAATTCAGGACCTTGAGTTTTTGAGGCAGGCATGGCATCATTGAGCTAAATCCCCAGCCCTAAAAATTATCCATTTAAAGATGTCTATATTTCCCAAAGTGATCTGCAGATTCAATGCAATCCTTATGATTATTTTTACAGAAATAGAAAAATCCTAAAATTTATATGGAATTTTAAAGGAACCCCAAATAGCCAAAATAATCTTGAAAAGGAACAAAGATAGAAGACTCACTTTCTGGGCATTACGAATCTATAATAATCAAAAGAGCATGGTAAGGACATAAAGATAGACAAATACAATGGTATCTTGATTTATGAAGTTAATTTGTTTTATGATTTTGGGGAAGATGCATTTGTATTTGAGTGAGGAAGATGGCTGTGGTTGTGTTTGTCACCCAATGTGGAGTTTATGAATGGAAGCAAAATTTTATCATATGTTTTTGTTTGTAAACCAAATTGTTTGCAAATACACATTCCTGAATCAAGGTCTTATTGTAGACCAATGGAATAGAACAGAAACTCTCTGTCTATTTTTTTAGAATAGAAACTCTTGCAAACATGGTCAAATTATTTTTGACAAGGGTGCCAAGACCACTCAATTGGGAAAGAATAGTCTTCAGCAAATGGTGCTGAGAAAACTGGATATCCACAAACAAACAAACAAATGGAGTTGGACCCTGAGCTAACACCATATACAAACATTTATAAAAATGGATTCAGGTCTATAGACCTAAATATAAGAACCAAGATTATAAAACCTTCAGAAGAAAATATAGGTCAAAACTTCATGACACTGGATTTGTCAGTGACTTCTAGGTTCTGACATCAAAGGCACAGGCAACAAAAAACAAAAGGCAAATTGGATTTCAGGAAAATTGGAACACTTTGTATATCAAAAAACTGTTAACAGAGTAAAAAGGCAACCTTTAGAATGGGAGAAAATATTTGTAAATAAAGTATCTGATAATGGCTTAATACCCCAAATACATAGATCTCCTTAAACTCAACAATAAAAACCAAAAACTTTATTTAAAAATGAACAAAGACTTGAATAGGTATTTCTCCAAAGAAGATATACAAATGGCCAAAAAGCACATGAAAAGATGCTTGACAGAACTAATCACTGGGGATAAGCAATTCAAACTACCATGAGATACAACTTTGCACCTATGAGGGTGGTGACTATAAACCCACAAACAAAAAATAGTGGTGGAGAGTACTGGAGCCTGTGCACACTGAATGTACACTTGATCTTAGCCAAAAGGCTGAGAAGCAATGTGTGCACTGAATTTAAAATGGTGCAGCTGCTATGGAAAACAGTTTGGTAATTTCTTTAAAAAAATACAAATAGAATTATCTTATGACTCAACAATTCCACTTCTGGAAATATGTCCAAAAGCACTGAGAGCAAGGTTTCAAAGACATATGTGCACACCCATGTTCACAGCAGCATTATTCACAACAGCCAAAAAGTAGAAGCAACCCAGGTGTTCACTGAAAGGTGAATGCACAAGCAAAATGTAACAAATACACACAATGGAATGTTACCCAGACTTCGAAAGGAGAGAAGTTTTGACAGATGCTGCCACATGCATAAACCTTGAGACTATTATGCTAAGTGAAATAAGCCAGTCACAGAAAGACGAAGAGTGAGTGATTCCACTTCTCTGAGGAACTCAGAGTGGTCAAAATCATAACCATGAAAAATGGAATGGTGGCTGTCAGGGACTGGGGCCAAGATGAAGAGTGATGGAGATGGGTGGTGGTGGGTGCACAACATTATGAATGGAGTAACACTGAAATGCGTACTTAAATTAAGATAGAAGATTTTGTATTATGTGTATTTTACCACAATAAAAACTGAAAAATAATTTTCCATTTAACCAATTTTCACTTGCTCTTTAAACAGACAAGGGGAAGCAACCGTTACAGAAAGAGAGGGGAAAGTTGGAGAACAGTGATTGTGGTCCATTACATTTAGAATCACCTGAAGTTTGAGCCTTCAGGCAGAAAGGATTGCTGGGCCTTACCCCAGAGTTTCTGATAGGATAGGAGTGGGGTCCCAAAACTTATATTTCCAACAAATTCTCAGGTGATGCTGATGCTGTGTAGCCAAAGACCACTCTTGGAACAATTATTTTTGATTAACTGAATCTTCTTGGAATTGTGCCTGCTAATTTAGAGTGCCCATTCTTACAGGTATGGGTCATGCTTTCTCAGAGGAGAAGGGGAGAAGGGGGAGAGAGAGAAAACAAAGAACAAGTGTAATTTGAAAAAAATAATTGATGTTTTCAATATAGAGGTTATATATGTTGCTTTCCTAATAAAAACTAAAGAAATCAGTGCATAATAAAATCTTCTTTTGTGTTAAAGTGAGCTTTAGGCCACAAGAAATCTCAAGAAATCTCACTTCTCAAGACATGGTGACTCCTTAACTTCCTTCCCATTTTTCACAGGTCTGACCATCAGCTCAGCTTTCGCCAATATGCTACTTGGACTGAGGCCAGTTTAGATTTTAGAGGATGGGGAAAAGACAGACACTAAAAGATGATTTCTGAAAAATCCTGGCTTTCTGCATGAGCCTCTTGTCTATGCTTAGGTTCTCTAGCTGTTAAAAGTTCATAATCAATGGTCTATTTTTACCTTGTTCATGGGCAAGGCCCAGGGAATAGAGAGAGACACCCTTTGCTAGAGCTTTCTTCTCTTTGAGGCTTTGATATCAGGGGCCAATGCCTATGGCAAACTCCTGCTAATGAGGTGGGCAGTTAGGATACAGAGGGGAGAGATGGGGGAACTGGTCTTTCCCAGGCCAGCTCCTTTGCTCATCTGTTGCTGTATAGAGCATACTCTTGCTACTTTTTAAAATCTGACATTGAGTCGGGGATTTAGCCCATTGGTTCCGCTGCCTACCTCACAAGCACAAGGTCCCGTGTTTGATCCCCGGTACCAAAACAAAACAAAACAAAAAAACCCCTAACACTTATAATCCAGGTATTTCCCAAAGCTTTACATGAGCTAGTTTATTTAAACCATCAAAATTATGAGGCAAAAAAATAAATAAATAAACAAATAAATAAATAAAATTTTTAAAAATTATGAGGCAAATATTGTTATTCTAAATTACAGGTAAGGAAAACAAAGCACAAGGAGCTTAAACAATTAGTCCAAAGCCACATAATTGGTAAACAGGCAAGCTGGGGTTTAACCCAATTTACTTTCTTTTTTTTTTTTGAGACAGGGTCTTGGTATGTTTAGCCTGGCCTTGAATTCACTATGTAGCTCAGGCTGGCCTCGAACTTATGGCAATCCTCCTGCCTCAGCCTCTCAAGTGCTAGGATTACAGGCATGCACCACCACATCTGGCTCCAGTTTACTCTTAATACCCTTCACCAATTGGCCCCATTATGTATTTTCCCCCTATGCCCAAATCTGTTATGTAAACAACCAGTTCTGTAGGACTACAAGGTGTCTCTATCTATTTTAAAGAGTCTCAAGACAACACCAAATGCCAGCCTGAGACTTCTACATGTTTTCAGGTCTCTACTGGAGTACAAAATTCTGCAGTATTCCCACTGTTTCCTTAAGAAAACTGGTCATTCAAAAGGAGAAATGGTCACTGGTCTACCTAAACTTGAACAGTTCCCAGGACTTTCCTTACCCTTGCTGAGAGAGTACCAGGAAGCCCCATTGGTGATGCCATCTGGAAAGTAATCCCCACAGTTCCAGCCCTGGTGCATCCAGCCATGTGCATAGGAGTAGACCTTGGCCAGCTAGAAGGAAAACAGGCAGAAAATGACCTTGAATATTCCTAACTCAGATGGCAATGCTTATACTCAGAGTGAGAGCAAAGCCAAGGAGCTCTACTATGTATAAACAACAGATTATATGCTATAGTGAAAGGTAAATGATCAGGGATGGAGAGACGGTGTATGCATATGTGTGTAAGGGTGTGTGTGGGTCAGTGTGTGTGTGAATGGAGTAAGCTGTTGTTGTGTATATATACATATGGGTGTGTAGGTGGACTGGATTTAAGAGATCTGTATTCTGATTTTTCCACTTACCCAGGGCTGATTCCTCATGTACAAAGGGAGGGGTGCACTAGAAAATACAGAAGCTGCCTTCTTATTGTACCATTTTCTAGGTGAATTTTATAAAAGAAATCAAGGAGCAAGTAAAGGAGTAGTACTGTTTGTTGGCTGGCAAGAGAAATGTGTTGGAAGAACATTTTAAGATTCTCTCTATAATTCTCTTTCATTACTTATTTTGTTTTGTTTTTTTTGAGACAGGGTCTCACTACGTAGTCCAGGTGTGACTTGAACTTGCTCTGAGGCCCAGGCTGGCCTTGACCTGGTGATCCTCCTGCCTCAGCCTCCTGAATGCTAGGATTACAGGTGTGTGCCACCACACCCAGATTACTTTTTTTTTGGTACCAGGGATGAACTCCGGACCTTGACCCTCCGAGGAAGGCAACAGAAACACTGAGCTAAATCCCTGGCCCAGATTACTTTTTTATAGTAGTGGATGAAATGAGATTACTGGAGAAAAATATAATAATACATTTGCTTAGTAAAATAATTGGTATTATTCTCAATAAAATTCATTTATTAGTTCATTTATTACTCATGCTATATATACTTAATTCATTTATTATGTTATATATAAAAGTATTTTATATATCAATATATAATTATATATTAATATATTCACATATCATGATATATCCTTTTATAATTTAGTTGATACATTTTATTGTAAAATAATTATAAATTTATTATATTATTAAATATATTTAATACATTATGAATGTAAAAATTCATATATATTAATTTTATTGTATTGTTTTGAATTATTATTTAAACCTTTTTCATGTGCATGGTCTCTTTTTCATTAACATAGGCATATTAATATAAAAGTGTAAATCAGATCCCCTGAAGTTCACATTTAGAAGTCATGAGCTTAAGGGGCCGGGGATTTGGCTCAGTGGTTTCACCGCCTGCTGTGCAAGCGCAAGGACCAGAGTTCGATCCCCGATACCAAAAATAAATAAATAAATAAATAAATAAGAACTCATTAGCTTACCACCAGCACTATTGGCATATTTCTTGTTTGCCATTAGCTTAAGTTTGTTTTGCATGGTGGTAATTACAGTATAAAACTTTCCTTTTAATTTACTTTTTTATGAATTTATGGCTTATCACTTAAAGCAAATTGTAATTTACTGGACTATAAGACTCCAATGAGCAAGTTGTATTTTTTATTTTTGTAGTCTTATTCCTAAGGAGGTCCTGTGTCACTGATTTGAAGCTTGTTGCCTGAGCCCCGAGTTCCCCTGGCAGGGCAAACTGCCATTCTGCATACCTTCTGGAAAAGCTTATCGTCAGGTGTGGGGGTAGTGGTAGTGCCATGAGAACTTCGGAGCCGATGTCTGAGGGACTTGTCATATGGGTAATTGGCCACGACTGCTCCTCCATGGAGATTGGCTGAGAGAACAAAGTTAATGGAGTGCATCCACCGGATCACAGCCCGGGTCTCAGGCTCCACCTGTGGCAAGAGGACAAGCTGGTGGGAAGTTGCAACGGGAGCTGCCCTATGACTGCTGGGATAATTCTGTCGGGAAGAGGAGGCAGCTGGTCTCAATAAGAGTCCTACAGGCAGGAGAAGTGTGACTGGGGAAATTTTGACCTTTGGAATTCTGGTTACAAAAATTAAGTTCACAGAACCCTATTTCAGAAGGAAACTTTATGTGGAATTAGTAGAATTTTAGAAAAAGTTATTCTAAAGAAAGCCCTGAATCCACTTGGACTTGCAGTATATAGAAATAATTTATAGTCCTCAGTGATTTTTTTCTCCTTTCAGGATGTACATTTAGAGATTATGTCGTGCTAATGTGTTAATTGTTCCTTCTGGACCCAGGGTCAGCTCTGAAGGCCTCATCTTCCTATTCCAAAGGGGATTGCAGGGATGGTTTCAAGTGTATCAAGAGTCATATAGTTGGGGAAGAGGAAAAACTATAAGGGTAAAAAAAACCCCATAAGGGTTAGACTTCCTGAACGTCTTTCTAGAGCTAATTGTCTATGGACATATCAAGTTTACCATATGTAAGACAAACTTCTCTATAGACTGCTAGAGTTCTCTGTCAATAGCCTAGTATAATATAATGTTGGATTAAGAGTTGGAAAGCCCAGGTTTTAACCCTGATTCCAGCAATTATCAGCTATGTGTATTTAAATTACAGTGGTGCCTCGGTTCATGAATGCTTCTGTTCACAAACAATCTGGTTCTCAAACAAAAGCATTTGACAAAAGTTTGCTTCCATTCACAAACTCCATATTCGGTGACAAACAGCGATCTGCCCCAAAATTATAAAACAAATCAAGTTCATGAACTGATACACCACTGTAATTTATGTATAAAGCAAAGATAGATAGCACTAATTGATGTATTTACCAAACTGATGATCTACTGAAACACTGGGCATGAAAAAACTTTGTGCAGCAGGCATGGTGATGCACACCTGTAATCCCAACACTCTGAGAGGCAGGAAGAACACAAGTATGAACCCCATTTGGGCAACTTATCAAGACCTTGTCTCAAAATAAGAAAAAAAATTTAAGTGTTGGGGATGTAACTCAGTATGAAGGCATTGAGTTCAATAAGTAACTGACAATGAGAGAGACGGAGAGATAGATGAGAGAGAGAGAGAGAGGGAGAGAGAAACTTTGTGAAACTGCTAAGTAACATGTAATGGTATGATATTGTTTTCACCTCCTTCACCACCATCACCACTAACATCAAACATTTAGTGAGCATGAGCATGTGATTCTCGAAGGGCTCTACGTTGGGGAAGGGAATAAATACAACACAGCATAAGACACTTTTGTGGCTTGTATCTAGTTGTCCCCCTAAAGTGTCATGCAGTCATAGATGGGGAGTTTCAAAGGTGGCTGGATTAGGGTGTGTGAATGTGGATTAAGGGTGTGATACTGGGGTTACAGGTATGGATAATGGAAACTCCACCCTGGGTATGAGTGGCACCAATCAATAGGCTTGTAGTCTGGATGGAATACAAAGGAACAGAAAGAAGGCAGGCTCCTGTTTCTGCTGCTGCTTGCTACTTTTTCTGCTTGCTGCTGCTTTCTTCTGCCTGCCATGCCATGAACTACTTCTCCTCTTTGATGCCATTCTGCCATGCTACCCTGCCTTGGAACCAGCTGACTATGGACTGAAACCTCTAGAAACTGTGAGCCAAAATAAACCTTTTCTCTTTTAACTTTTTTTGTTGGGTATTTTTGTCTCAGCATCAAGAAAAGTAAGACAGATACAATTATTATTGCTTTAGATAAATTCATGAGCGGAGTTGATGTTTAATTCTTGCTTGTTTGGTTAATGTGAATACTACTTGGCAGCCTTTCTGCAAGAATTTTCAGATGCTGGTTTACCTGCTTCTGTTTGCAAAATTTAATCACCTACCTGGTTTTTCCAGTTGTCTGGAAGGGGTAAATGATGGTTGGGGCCTCCGTACTTCTCATTATAGTAGAAATAAGTATTGAGATCAGGGAAGTTGCGGTTCAGATCCACTCCATTTGCATTGTTCCTGCCAATCAGATATCCAGATGTGTTCAGGCCCTAGGAGAAAGTTGAAGAGATGAACAATGAAGGTTTCAGATGGAATCTTATATTCAGAGAACACTATGTAACTCTTTTTGATATTTGTTTAACCTATCAGATGATGTAGCATTTTCTTCTTTTACTTATCCAAAGATGCAGTGGTATGCCTCAAATTTTCCTGAAAGCCCAATGCTGGAGGTAGAGATCCCAGGAAAAGCTCTAAAAAATGTGAGGTATTTCAATAGTCTTTGTTTTGTTGTTGTTGTTTACTTGATTTTTTGTTTTGTTTTTTTGAGACAGGATGTTGCTATGTAGTTCTGGCTGGCCTTGAACTCACTATGTAGCTCAGGCTGACTTCAAACTCCCAGTGATCCTCTTGCCTTAGCCTACAAGTGCTGGGATTACAGGCATGCACCGCCATGGCTGTCTGGAACCTTTGTTTTTTAAAAATAACTTTATCAAGATATTATTTATATACTATAAAATTCACTTGCTTTTAATGTACAATTCAATGGATTTTAATATGCCTACAAAGTTGTACAACCATCAGCACAATCTAATTTATTTATTTTTAATGGTTTTATCCTCTTCTCTTTATTACAAGAAGGAACAATAAAATAGAAACATTTGCATGGAAAATGCGGTGAGGAGTGAGAGGGAGGTGTGAGGAGGGTATGGGGCATGGTAACTCCCTAGTTCAGGGAGGGAAGGGGAGGGAGCAGGCTGGCCCCAAGCCTCCCCGGAAGGAAAACCTGACACTAGACCAGGACCCTGGAGCTGGGGTGGGAGCGTGGGCGACAGCTCTAGGCCTGACTTCACACAGCTCTCTCCGCAGCAGCAGCCAGCCGCCGGCCCCCCAGCTGTGGGCATCAGAATCTCGCCGGCTGCCCCTGCCCCTCCTGGCTGGTGCCCAGCTGCAGCTTCTGGATCTGCCGCACCACAGCAGTAGCACTGAAGGCTTGCTTTCACCTGCTCTTGGCAAAGTTCTTGATCTGCTCACTCATGGACTGGTGAGAGCCGTATCTCCTGCGATCCATGGGTGCTGCAAGGCCTGCTCACATGGGAACCTCTTCTCCGGATCCTTCTCCATCAAGTGCCAGGTGAAATCTTTGGCAGTCAGAGATGTCGTCCCAGTAAGGAGAGTCAAACTCATACTTGGCCTTCAAAATCTGTTCAAAGAGTTTGGCATCATTCTTGTCAAGGGGGGTGGGAGGGTGGTAACCGCAGAGCAGGATGTAGGTGATGACTCCAATGAACCAGCAGTCCACAGCCTTGCTGTAGGGTTTCTGGGCCAGGACCTCAGGGGCTACGTAGCCTGGGGTCCCACAGGCTGTGGAGAGCACATTGCCCGAATCTTCCATCTTGGAGAGGTCAAAGTCAGAGATCATGATCTTGGAGTCTTTGTCCAGGCTGTAGTAGAGCAGATTTTCTGGCTTGAGACCCCTGTGTAAGATGCACGGGTTGTGCAGGTAATTGACAGCGCCTGGCGTCTGGAAGATGAGGCGGTTGGCGTCCTGCTCTGTGTAGAAGCCTTTTTCCACAATGTGATCGAACAGCTCCCCTCCTGACACCAGCTGCATGATTAAGGTAGAGGTGGCGGCCACTCTCGTAGATGTCATCCAGGGCTAAAATGTTGGGGTGCTTGATCTTGTGCAGGACAGCGATCTCGTTTTTCATGCCTTCTTTGCCCTCCAGGGCTTTCTTGGCGATGCACTTGATGGCCACCAGCTTCCGAGTCCTCTTATCTTCTGGCAGAATGACCTCTGAGAAGGCCCCCCTGCAGTGCCCCGGGCTGAGCCAGGCCGAGCTGCTGCTGGCGCCGCTGCCTCCTCCTCCCGCTGGCTCCTTCTCCCGCTGGGGCTCGGTGCTTAGCTCAATCTAATTTTAAAACATTTCTACCACCCTAAAAAGAAATCTTACTCCTACTTAGTCAGTCCTCATTTTCACCTCAGCCCTTAGTTATCACTTTCTATCTCACTACATTTTTCTCCTCTGGACATGTCACATAAGTGGGATTATATATTAGGTGTATGTAATACACTGTGCCTAATGTTTTTAAAATTTGGCCATGTTGTAGCATGTGTTAGCATTCACTCCTTTTGTTGCTAAATAGTTCCATTATAGAATTTATCACATTTTATTTTCACTAGCTGACGGGCTGTATTCATTTTCCAGGACTGCTATACAAATTACTACAAAATGAGAGGCTGTAATAAAGATATTTGTCCTCTCACAGATCTAGAGGCTTGGGATTCAGGTGTCAGCAAAGGGAGACTTTCTGAAGTCTCCCTCTGTGTCTTCTTGTTTCTGGTGGTTTCAGAAAATCCCTGATATTCCTTGGGTTGTAAATACATCCCTCTAATTTCTGTTCCCATCTTTACCAGGCCTTCTCCCCAGTGTGTCTGTGTCTTTATAAGTTTCTCTCTTATAAAGGCCTCAATCACGCTGGATTTAGAGTTTACCCTACTTCAGAGTGACTTAAACTAACGACATCTGCAAGGGCTCTATTTCCAAATAAGATCACAGTCACAGGTTCCAGATGAGCAGGAATGGGGAGGGGAGGTTACTATTTAACCCAGTTCAAGGACATTTGGGTTATTTTCACTTTTTTGGCTAATATGAACAATGTTTCTATGAGCATTCATATACAAGTCTCTTTGTGGATTTATGTTTTTCCCCCCTTTGGTATGTATCTAGGAGAACTGCTGGGATATGAGTCTGTGTTAACTTTTTGAGAAATTGGAGAGCTGTTTTCCAAAGTGATTGCACCGTAGTAACCTACTGTCCTCATTTTTAAAGAATTTAGGATCCTTACTTTTATTCTGAAAAGTATCAACTTTCTGAATCCCTAAATTTCTCTGCTCATACTCCAGATTTTATCTTTATTTGCTCATGTATTCATTCATTTGTTCAGTCAGCCATGAGTTAACCAACATTTACTTGTCTTTCTCAATTCAAAGATAACTGATAGACATTAGGGAAAGAATTAAATGGGACGTTATTTTAGTTTTCTAGGAATTCACAGTATGCATGGAGAGTTAAATATAGATGTAAATAATTAAATATATAAAGTGGTAGAAAGGAAGCCTACTTAAAACTGAAATGTCATTTAATGTTTTGTGTGGCATTGGAGAAGAACACTAGAGCCCATGTGGCCCTGTGGACTGAGAGGGCAGAGCCCAACTGTTGGCTATTCCTGCAAGTGGGTAATGAATCAATGCCGGGCAGCTGAAAACTCAGATGTACTACCACTCAAATTTTCTTTAAGAAGTCTTTATTATTCATAGATTTTTCCTTTTATCATGGCATTTTGCTTGTATTTTATTCTTAGATCAGACTGAGAAGGTAACTTTTAAAAACATTCTTTTAAGCTTCCTACATCAGTTCTGTTCCAGTGGAACCATTTATCGGCCTTTTCAGTTTGGCGTACACTTCTATGACCTAAGGAGTTTTCGCTGCTTGTTCATTCTTTTTTTTTTTTTTTTTGGTACAGGGGATCAAACTCAGGACCTTGCGCTGGTGAGGCAGGTGGTGGCACCACCATGCACATCGGCGCCAAATAACCTCTTTG